GCTCCTATGGTTAGGGCTTGCTATGAATTATTATTTTTTTTTTTGTAAATTTGCCCAATCAACATTAATCTATAATTAGGTCAGAATTACTGAAATCTTCACCATTTAAAATATTCGTTTCAGGTAGAAATCAAAGCACACATTTAAGGGTTTGCACATATTACTTGCAAAGTGTGCAAACAAAGGCACCAAAACTGCAGGATGGCTAAGGACTGAAATGGGATCATGGAAATCCAGTTTAAGTCTGCATTGAATATTCACTGGGTACTTTTGAACCAGTTACTATTTCACAGCCCAATTTACGTTGCGGGAATTTAAAAAAAAAACTAGAATAATTGAAGGAAATAATCTTACAAATAATATGAAAGAAAAACCATTTGCAAAAAATGTATATTCTAAGAAAGGATCATACAATGATAAGAAATGTTCATGAAAATGAACAGAACTTTTAACATTGATGTAGAAATGTACAGGAACAAACATGAAATTGACATATTTCTACATATTTCTTCACTCACAGTGATAACCTGATTACATTTTCCTTCAGTTCAGGAAAGTATGGAGAATCTGGACAATAAGTAGAAGCTACCAGGAGATATTATCAGAAAATAGGGAGTTGTTTTAATCGTGGGACTGCAAGAAAACTTGCAATAGTGTTCATTTTTATTCTTCCATTCAGTCAACCATATTCTCTTTCAGGATATTACACTCCAGTCTTTTTCTTTTCTTAATCTAGTTTTCTATCTTTCACCACAAATCAGCATTCTTGTTGGGCTCTTGTTGGACTATTTCAGTGTAATAATCACTATCTCTTGTAACAGAGTCCTTCTGAATTTTTATCTTCTCTCATCAGTTGACGGGTGTTTCCGTACTAATGAAAATGTTTAATTTCGCCTTTCTCTTGAGATTTAACCTTCTACATATAATGATAAAATAGATGATTTTGTAGAAAAAATTACCTTCTACAAAAATTCTAAGAATATTTTCTACATAATAGTCCTTATTTAGATTATGTTCCTTCAATCAAATGTTAATGCAGTGTATTCTTAATAGTGCTTAATTCAAATGTTAATGCAGTATATTCTTAATAGTGCTTAATTAAGTCAAATCATCCTGGTTTGCTAATTGGAGGGGAATGTCTCACCTCAATCCAATCAACCATATTACAGTTTTTTTCTGGTATTCTTTCATGTCATGTGGGGGGAAAGTCTTCATATGTAAAATGTGTATGTACTTTGATTGTTTTTTGTACAAGGTAATGTCAGAACAGTTTTATGCACTTTGCACACAGCTCCTGTAAATAGTTGTAACTGAGTGTGTTAATGTCTACATAAAGCCAGTGCATGGTGAGTTAACTGGGATAGGATTGAGCTGAAATGGGACACTGAGGTTGAGTGCTCAAGCTTCAAGAATGTCTAACTGGCCTTATCACCTTTGGAAGATATGAGCTGGAAGACACAGAGAGATGTGGGTGGTCACATACATACTGTACAGGGTTGTGAGTGACTGTAATTTCATGACTAGATTATGAAAACAACTAGAAACCAAGTATTGCTATCCTGACTATAATAACACTATCAATAATTTTAAAAGTCTAATTCTTTATGAGCAGATGAATATTTTATATTACAGAAACATTTCTGATTAAGAATTATGCTTAGCATCACTTTGTGGTACTTTATAAAAGCAACAAATAAACTCTGCTGCCTGACAATAATTACAAGCTAAGTTTCAGAGTGAAAAAAAAAACTGAGGGAAGGGGGATAGTTCAGATAGACTCTGAACAATGAGAGATGAAACTAGAGAAGAAAGGATAAGTTTTCATTTCAGTTTGAAGAATACATGTGTTTGGCTGGCATAGCTAACATAAAGATATTTTTATGCCATTGCAATTTCATGCAATTCTGTATACAGTTGGACACATACAATAGAATTCACCCCTCATTCTAAAACATAGATTGCTTAAATATGGTTTATTGAAAAATCATAGCTCATTAGGTTTGAGCAATATGTAAATCCAAATTATATAAGCATTATGTGACCCTATCTACAGAATCCAACCTGAAAAATGCACCAAATATAAAAGTATAGTTTCTTATCATTGACTTCTCCTCTCTAGAGCATATGACCAGGTTTAAAAAATGATAATGTGAAATTATCTACAGTAAGCCTTAACTTATAACCGATTGTTTAACAATTATTCAAAATTATGACAGACTTTACAAAAGCTACTTACGACCTATTCTCACAGTTATAATTGCTGCCTCTCCCCCTATGGTCACATGATCACATTTTGGTACTTGGCAGCTGACTCACATTTAAGACTGGTGACAGTGTTCTGTTATCATGTGACTGCAATTTGCAATATTTTTTTGCCATTTTCCAGAACATGGAAAAAAACTCGATTGCTTATGCTGGATTCGCTTAACGACTTGAATAAATTTCACGATTGTTGTAAAAATGGTCATAAAATGTCCAGTCATTTAGTGCCAAACTCAAGCTCTGGGGGCTAGATTTGGCCCACAGGGTACTTAGATTTGGCCTGTGGGGTTGCCCTGGAAACAGCAAAGGATCGGCCTGTGGTGCCTCTGCCAGTGAAAACGAATCTAGTGAGGGCCATGTGTGGCTCTCCTGAGTTCCGTTTTCGCTGGCAGAGGGTTGGAGGATGCCGTTGCAGCCAAAAATGGAGTTCATGAATCCGTTTTCACTGACAGAGAACTCGGGCCACCACAAGCGCTCCTGACACAAATGATGTTGAGTTGACTATGCCCAACCCAGTCCATGAAGTTCAAACCCTAATGACTTGTGAAATTCTGAAATCCATTGTCATAAGTTGAAACTACCTGTAGTCTTGTTTATAGATGTACTAAAAGGCTTGTAAATACCTCAAATTATTCAAATAATTTGACTAAATACTCATATTTTTGCACTATAAGACACTCTTCTCCCCCCCCCCCCCAAAAGTGGGTGGAAATGTCTGTGCACCTTATAGAATGAATATTGCGGCAGAGGGGAGTGGGGTTGGTGTGGCTGCAGCATTCACTGCTGCTGCCTGTCACCGCAGCCTGTCACCGCTGCCGCTGTTTGCCACCACCAGGAATGTTGGAAGCTTTGCTGCTGAGCAGCTGATTGGGTGTTGGATCAGCTTCTCGGAATATCGCCAAACAGCTGTTCTAGGAAATGAGGATTGCCGCTGTTCACTGCTGCCATTCGCCACCGCTGCCAATTGCCGCTCAGCAGTGGTAGCAATTGGTGGTTGTGAATAGCAGCAGCAATAGGGGGTGGCAGTGATCACTGCTGCCTAGAACAGCTGATCGGCGATATTTCAGCAGGCTGATCCAACCACCAATCAGCTGCTCAGCAGAGAAGGCTCCAGTATTCCCCAGTGGTGGCAACAGCTCAGCTCAGTTGACCAGTAATGGGTGCAGTGGAGTGGAGCCCTGACGAGCCACGTGCTGGGGTTGCGATGATGTGCTGAAGCTGACTAGGCTGCTTGCTGCAAGGACGTTAGCCAGATGAATACTGGATGGATGCTGGGAGGCAGAGGCAGATTTTTTTTCTTGTTTTCCTCCTCTAAAGCAATTATGTGTCTTGTGGTCTGGTGCGTCTTATAGTGCGAAAAATACTGTATGTCCTATCATAGTCATGGCAAACCTTTTCAGCATCGAGTGCCCAAACCAGAATGTATGTGCATGTGCATGCAGGTGCGTACACTGGACTGCCGGAAACCCGAAGACCAGCTGGCTGACATGTGCATACCTGTTTTCAGGCCAGTTTTGGGCCATTTTTTGCCTGAAAAGCACCCTCCAAATGCCCTCTTTTTTGGCCATTTTTCAGGCAGTTTCAGGCCATTTTTTGGGCTGTTTTCAGGTAGTTTTCAGGTAGTTTTGCAGAACTCCAGTGCACATGAGGACCGAATGGCCCAAATCCAGAACAGCAGTCGGCGACGGTGCACATACCATAGGTTTGCCATCATGGTCCTATCATGTCAGTGTCAACTCTTAGTAACCTTGTAGATTTTCTCCATGATGATTTGTCCCTAATTTGGTCTTTCAGTCTTAGAATGGTGCATTCATTGCTAACCTAATATACCAGTACATGCTAAGAAATGGATTGACCCAAGTTGAGTCACAGTGTAAAAGGAGAATAGCAAATAATAGCTTTTCCCTTTCTCTCCCTTAGATTGAATTCAGTGCTGATCAGATTGAAGGTAAGTAATGGTTTGTTTTAAAACCATTGTATTAATATGTATGCTACCACCCCCCCTCTATTTTAGTGAATAAATCACAAGTAGTTGAATTCACAAAGTACACTAAACTATAAACTATGAAAGCCATTAAATTTAGCAGGATTTATGATAAAAGTTATTATGTTAGTATCAGATCAAATATATTTGCTGCATATTAACTAAGATTTTTAATGATGGTTTTATAAATAAATTAGAGTGGCTTTTTTTTTGCAAAAAAAATTATAGATAACATAACGGAACAAAATAAAAGTCCATAACAGAATAACAGAGTTTGAAGGGACCTTGGATGTCCTCTAGTCCAATTCCCTGCTCAAGCAAAAGAACCTCATTTTGTTTTTTGGGGGGTTTTTTAGGTTTTTTTTTTTTTTTAATTTTCAAAACAAACACAACACATAAAATCTTCCTTTTTTACATACTGTAGAAAGGGTATCAAAAGACTTTCGTGCATCTCTTCCACAGTCATCAAACATAATTCATATTAACTCAAGTATTTTAACTCAGATAATTATACATATTACCATCATTATACTTCCATTTAACTACA